AGAACTATTTATAATAATTTTACAAAACTCAAACACAAACTATAATCATTTTACAAATCTCAAACAAAAACATTCAAGAACTATTTATAATAATTTTACAAAACTCAAACACAAACTATAATCATTTTACAAATCTCAAACAAAAACATTTGGATGTGATTGAAAATGAACACATTTGGTCATTTGCAAAACTAAGCAAAAATTTAGTCATGTATTTTTAGTCCCTATTTCAAATCAGTAACCATTTAATTTCTACATTTTATTTAAAATTGATTGATAAGAATTTAGTTATTGTTGTAAAAAAAATACAAAAATTCAAGCAAAAATTTAGTCATGTATTTTTAGTCCCTATTTCAAATCAGTAACCATTTAATTTTTAAAATTGATTGATAAGAATTTAGTTATTGTTGTAAAAAAAATACAAAAATTGATTGTCTAGTTTTTATCGGTAATAATTTAGTCATTGTCATCAAAATCCATGTGTCTAATTTTGATCATATAACAAGAAATTAGTATTTTAATTTGTAAAAAAATGTCATCAAAAGAACTAAATTGTTAATTGAAAAGTGAGAGACTAATGGTTACAAATTTGTTAGCACAAATAACGAAACCAAAATTGTCTTGACCAAAAATGTCCCTTTTGACAGGTACTCTGGGACAAAAAGGCATATTTTGCCTCTGCATCGTCTCCAAACGGCAGAGTGTTTGTAATTTCCCAAACAAAACCGGCCGGGATCTCAACATTCACCGCACCGCTTTGCCGCTATTCAATTCCTTTCAGTACATCATAACCACGATCAGATTCATATGGCAACTAATTAATAATCACTCAAGGTCAAGGTAATAAATGACAAATTAATTTGGATTTAGGAATATCAAAATTTTTCAAGAGCGTGCCGCACTCTTTCCATGCTTATACAACCACAAGCATTCATTCCATGACACTAAACTACCTAAATAAAATGGAATCCTATCCTAGCTATTTGGCGTTGGCGTTGGTGTTGGTGTTAATTTTGGCATTTTTTAGTGGCAGCTGCGGCGTTGCGGCCCCACTGTCTAAGGCGAATCTGAGTGAGGGAAACAGAGGCCAGGAATTGAAGGCATTGCAAGGGTGTAAGCACTTCCAAAATGGCCTTCAACGTCCTGAGCCTGACGCAATCGGCGGCCTTCATGGTCCTCTCCAGCCCGGCCAGGAG